CCCGCCCCTGCCCCGCTTAATAATATAATTAAAAATTTATTTTATATATATATATAAACTAAAATTAGAAATATTTATATGTAAAAATTTATATTATTTTTTTCTTTTATTTTTTTAAAATTGTTCATATTTATTTAAAAGAAAAAAGAAAAAAAAAATAGGAACGGGAGCGGGAGCGGGGCGGCGAAACCCGAATCCCGCCGGGAGCGAGGATGGGGACCTAGATTTTACCTCCGGCGGGTATCGGGAGCGGGGGCGAGGACGATTTAAATTTGCAGGAGCGGGGGCGGGGAACGTAAAACCTGCTCCCGCCCCGCCCCATTGCCATGCCTAGTAGAAGGTCAGTTGTTAGTATTCTTGGAGAGAAAAGAAACTTGCAGAATTGTTGCATACTAATTTAACTTATCGTTCAGAACTTTGCTTGTCTGCTCAAATGATCACGACATCTAATTATATTATAAGTGACGAGTAGCAATTCCTTTCTCTGTATGTGATTTTGTTACTTTAACAGTCTGTTACCTTCCTGAAAAATTCTGGTATTTTCAGAAAAATGTCGAAGTGCTATCTTCAGAAAAATTCAATCAGTGAAACATATCAAGCCACAAGATTAGTACATCCATGGTGACTGATTGACAGCAACAAAAACCCAGCAAGGTTTCAAATCACATGATGAAATTACTATTCTTAAACCATCAATCTGAATGGTGACCCCTAATGTTTCATTTTTTTCCTCCACCCATTCGCGCATTTTGGAAATTACTAACATTTTGATGGCTATTTCATATACTCACTTTCTTGTCCACAAATATCGCATCGTCCTTTCTTTACTACAAGCAAAATAACATACATGATAAATCAAATGAAAGCACTTATGCAGCAGTCCCTGTTGGAAAGAACCTTTATTTAGGTAAATTGAACCTCTTATTTAGGATCTGTATTGTTCTGATTGTATAGCAATATTTCTTTGTTTCCTTATTTACTTTATTTCCTTTTATTGGTGATTGTAAATCTTGTGTATATATATAGGATCTTGCAGGGGTTATTTTCCTCAAGCAATCAGCAATCCTTTTGTCTTCCTTAAGATTCCTCAAGTCAAATCATCCACAATATTAAATTGAAGCAGAAACTAGGAAGATACCACAATATTTCTTCCATCAAGCACTAGTTTAGCCCCAGATTCCACACCTGTTTGAATCAATCTGCAAGTGTGTTCCTTTGCCTGTCATGAATGTCGAATATGAAGATCAAGAAATATAAATGAAGATACTCAACTTTAAACTCAGAATTCTGAAAGCTCATAAATGCATTGAAAACAACTACGAGATTCTTGTCACTCTCTCTCACACCTTGTTCTCTTCTAGTGAACTGACAGTTGTTTTAGTAAAATATATTAATGAATTATGCACCTGTTGGCTAATTACAGGACCAAGGTCTGCATCTGGCTCTGTTCCAGCATTGACCTTAAGTTTTTTCGCATGCTCTACTAGTTTATCTTCCCTGTTGAAAGAAAAACATTAAAAATTCTCTTTATGAAAAATAAGTAATATGTCAGTTGACTAATTCTTAAAGCAACATAAGAAAATCAGTCCAGCATACAAAAATATGATTTGATCATGAAAAATTCAAAGGGTGATTTAAGAGCAAAATAAAGACTTCTAGATATATACACAGCCAGTAAAGCTAAACAAGATGGAAAGGAAGGGCCACAGACATCACACATTCAAGTGAGCCATGAAAGAAATTTCTGACCAGCCCCAATAATTAACTGAATTACCACACTTCACCATATTCTCTTTTCTTCTTATTTCTCTCCCTCTCATACTCTTTTTATCCTCTCTTTTCCTTTTCTTCTTGTCTCCATCTATTTCTCTTTATATCCTTACATTTTCTGGACAGGATTAGCACCACATAAGCTTTACACAAGCTTTATTATCTTTTTTTTTTTTTTTTTTCTGAACTGCACCTTGGATATAGAAAATAAGCCGGTATTTTACTTGGTTTTAGTACTCACTGCTAATTACAAAAATGCCACCAGGTGTTTTCATTTTATTTCCTGATTTCAGAATTTATGAAGGAAATGGTGATGAAACAACACCTCTAAGATTTCAATCTCTATCTCTTTTATTCATTTTATTGATAGTAAACTCTTTTCAAACCACAATCAAGATAAGTTCATAAATGATCAACTAATTTGGTCAGCCTGAAATAACAATTCTACATTCAGAAGATTGAACAAAATACCATTGACTGAAATTTCCAACAAAAACAACAGCACTTAGTGCTGTGCACTTCTGTCCAGCTGCACCAAAACCAGCTGTAACCAAAGCTTTCAAAGTAGCATCTACTCTTGCATCAGGCATTATGACGGCATGATTTTTGGTTCCAATATTGGACTGAAGACAATAGCCAACCAGCCAATTTACATTGACCTCAACTACTGCATTGGGTGAAGAGCAACACATAGCTCATAAAAGGAACATGAGCTTTACTACGATAGCAGATGCAGAGAAATTACCTGCACACGTTTACCTTTGGTAGATGCTCTTGTGTATACATAAGCACCAACCTCAAGGGGAAAACCCATAAAATCAGTACAACAGATCAACCCAATTCCCAATCCATGAAAAACATAGTGAAATAGTTTTTCTTTCACTAATTTCAATGATAAGCTAAATTGCTTCATACAAAAATTTAATATGAATATGAATCTTCTAATGCCAACCATGTCAACAAAAGCTCATAATATAAAATGTGCATACCAAGATGAACAAGAAGAAATTTATCAGGTGCATCATGAGTCATGATATCTTAAAGTAAAATGTGACCAGAGTTACCATTAAGCATGCTTCTCTTAACACTTAAGTCTTGAACACAAGTATCTTTACTCGGAAGATAAATAATATACATTTTCCCTTAGATGTTGGAAAGCATACTTGCTAACAGTTTACAATCATTGCAACAATTCTTATCACTTCAAAAAACGGAAACATACTAATTGTCACCGGCAAGGTATGATGGTATGAGACAATCAACAATTCCTTTCTACAAGGACAAAAAAATTGAGGATGTATGGCATGTCACAAGCATTTGTTTAAATAAGGTTATTGATGCAAAGAACACTACACTATATTCATCCCACACTCAACAATCTATTGATTTTCTTTTTGGATAGGCCAATTAGTACCTCCTTATTGCACCCATGCTACTTTCCCTTTCATCAAAAGATAAAATGCAATTCCATCTCTCTTGGCTTGCTTGTTCAATGTCAAACATACTTACATTTAAAATATAGGAATTGCTGTTTGATATTAAAGTAGCCTCAGTAAGCTTGTTCAAATTCTTGAATACATTTCAGTTCTCAAGATAAAAATTACAGTGAGAATTCATTGCAAGAATGACTTACTGTATTTGAACCAACAAAGGAAACAGCCTTTATATCATCATCGTCACAAATAGCATTGACAATGTCCTGTTGGAATCAATTCTCAAGAGTGAGGAATAAATTGATCAGTGTTACAATTAACAAAAATGCCAATCAAACAACATGCTACAATAATCAATCAACAAGAAAAGAAAATATCAAACTAAATTCTTACATTTGTACCATGAACAATATTTAACACACCATTAGGTAAACCAGCCTCAATTGCTAACTCTGCCAGCATCACAGATGCCCCTGACATTATAACTAACAGAATATCATGCCTACTGCACGCATAAAGGCATCAGCTATTCACAAAGAGATCAAAGGCTCACACTTGTTTATTGTATACAAAGATGAGAAGTAGGTGAGAATGAATAGACAATAAATTCTTTGATTTCTTTCTAGAATAGGAAATAAATACAATTAAGAGGAAGGACAAAAGTACAGGACAGGATAGGAAATTCTCTGAACAACACCAGAAAGATAAGAGAATTCAAGTAAAAAATAGAGTGAAAGCCTGCACAAAAAACCACAAAAAGTTCCAAATGTAAGAAAAACTGAAAAGGGGGCTACCATTGCTTCCCCAAACATGAAACCTGGATTCTTCTCTGATGTCTTTAGAATAAATGTATTTCAATATAATAAATGACTTCATTTTCAGTATTATAACATTTTCAACTAAAGTGAATCCCTTTAACCGAATACTTTTTGCATATGTCATTTCATATAGAGCAGTAGTCCAGGAAGAATTTCACAATCACCTGGATTCTTCTCTGATGGCTTTAGAATAAATGTATTGCCACATGTGACAGCAATAGGAAACATCTGCACATATGAATATAATGTATATATATAAACATATAAAGATCTTGGAAATGTTGAATCTATTTCCCATTTATTACATTAGTTACATCTAATCACATTCTAAAATTCTATATTTAATGAGCTTTCCCATGTTGTATGTTTCTGCTGTATAAATTGCTTATCACATGGTAATATGGTATTCAGAAAAAAACCATTGCAAAGAGTAAATCTTTCCCTTGCTAGTTCCTATTACAGTGAAAGAAAATCAACTACAACCTAGTATTCGTCTTGATGCAGAGGCAAGACTTCTGAGCAAGAGAAGTTACATTAGCACAAAGAAATCATTGAAATTTCTATAAAATTAAGGTCTAGAGCATAAGGCATAAGCAAACTCAAAAAATACAAGTATACAGTGAGGTTACCCATAATGGAATCATAGCCGGAAAATCAAAAGAGCAGATACCAGCACAAATACCAAGTGGCTCTCTAATGCTGTATGTGTCAATTCCATCGGACACATTAGGTACAAAATCCCCCTTTATCAAATTTCCTACACCACAAGCGTGTTCAACAACCTCTACAAAGGGAGATGATTTTTCTTTGTAAATAATACGTGCCAAAAGGACAGTAAAGCCTGTTCTTAGACATTGAACAACAATAAGAACACTAACCTAGCCCACGTAACACATCATAATGTGCATCTTGCAGTGTTTTTCCATGTTCAGTACAAATATTCATAGCAACCTTATCCTGCAAGAAATTTCCAATAAGTTTAATTCTGAATAAATGTAATTCCAATAAGAAGGCAAAAAATAGTAAATATTTATTGAAAAAGAAAGTACTTATTATATTGTAAATAAAAGTCAATTTGTGTGAGCTTTTCTAAGTAATTTAAAACATTTAATAGTGTATATTTAATGCTTTCACATCATATGTCCATAGGCACATGATACAAAAAACTCCATTAATAAATTGAAATGCATACAATGTCTCTATGAACAAGCTCTTGGAACTTAAACATGATTCTTTGACGAGTGGTAACTGGTGTGTTACGCCACAATGAGAAGGCCCGTTTTGCAGAAAACACTGCTGCTTTGAACTCCTCATTTGTAGTCATTGGAACTTGAGAAACAACTTGCTGGCTTGCCTGTTATTTTTAAATGGGTCAGCAAGCTGCCTTTTACTCCATTTAAGTGAATAAGTAATAGAATTCAAGTTCCTCCGTACACTTACAGGGTTTAAAATGTCAATTGATGCACATGACTGTGAATCAACAAATCTTCCTCCAATAAGATTGGTAACCCTCTGAAACGAGAGAAAACGACTAAAACTGTTAGAGAAATATAAAATAAAAGAGATATAATCAGTCAGGTACTTCAGAACTAATGGTAGTTATTATATCACCCTTTTTAAATTCTTCAGTCTTCTCCCATGACAACTTTTAAGAGAAGACTACCCTCATTGGATGTTTTCATTGGGTAAAATGCAAGACAATTAACAACCAAAATAATGCATCTAGCAGCATATGGCAATTATTTGAAACTGATTTCAGCTTCATTCAAACATACAAACAAATGGATTATCTCTGAGGTCATATACATTTTTCCCAAGCCTATATTTTGTGTTATCAGATACTATACAATGGCGTCCAAGTACAGAGAACAAAGGACAAATTTTGTTAAGATGAAATATATGGAAGCAAAAGCTTACTGGAGGGTTGCACTGCCGCCACAATGGTTCAATTACAGCAAGATAGTTGTTTCTTACGGCAGACTTCTCATGTCTCAATGACTTGAAATTCCTAACTGCAACATATGAAAGCCATCAACCTGTAAGTATAATGCCGTGTAGTACTTCTTTTGCATATTGGAACAAGATGTCAAAGAATATAAATAGAGCTCATTCTTAAGCCTTTACTTTATAACTGAATATTTTATGCGGAATATTATCTTATCATTTTACAAGCATATGATACATCATATTCTATTCCAGTCATTCTTCTTGGCAAGTATTAAGAGCTTAATTAAGATAATTCATATCTTAATATTCAATAGCTGTTGACTGCTTTAATTTCAGTACATGTTCTTCTTTTAATCTTTTGAAATGGCTTAGTGTTACAGGTAATGGTTATAATCATATCTTGCTTCTCATCGGATCTAATTATGCCATGCATATATCAGTTTTATACAGTGCTATACCAAATTAACTTCAATCTTACTTTGGGATGAAATCAAGTCCTAAGAAAGGATCTAAGAAACTCCTTGAGTGAAGTTTAAGGTTTATTTGTAATTTTCCTCTGGTTTAGTCTAAGGTTATTTTCAGCTAAGGCCCTATTTACTCATTAGCAAACTTTCTTGGAAAAATTTATCTCATCTAGCTCAAGAATGGCCTTAATACAATCCAAATCTTAAAAATATAAATCACCTTTCATTCTTTAACTGTTAAACTAACCCCAGGTTATTATCATAACTTCCTGCACCCAAAACCAAAAAGGCCATTGTAACGAGCATAAGGCTAAGGAGGGGAACCATCCCTCAAAAGCCGGCCCAAGAGGTTGGAGAACCTCCCGCCTTATAAGGCCTCCCTGGTAAGGAGACCTCCCCGATGTGGGACTTGTTACATTACCACCCCCTTCGAAAGCCAGCGTCCTCGATGGACGCACTCCACGGTACTTCACTCACCGGTACTTCACTCGGCCTTTGTCGGTCAGAACCCTCCGGTGGTCAGAACCCTCCGTGGGTAGCCCTTCTCGAGTTGGCTGGCTCTCAATGAAAGCACCATTGTAACGAGCATAAGGCTAAGGAGGGGAACCATCCCTCAAAAGCCGGCCCAAGAGGTTGGAGAACCTCCCGCCTTATAAGGCCTCCCTGGTAAGGAGACCTCCCCGATGTGGGACTTGTTACAGCCATCCACTGATCTATGTTCCAAATTGATCTATTATTTAAATCCCCAGCTTACCATTCGTGTTTCCTTGTCTAAGCTTAGCTTTAACATTATAAACATGCTTTGGTGTTGATAAAAGTTCTGGATTGTTTTGTCTCAGCCGCTTTAGAATTTGTCGAGGTTTCAACCCAGCATCTGTCATTTCTTTAATGAGCAAAACTTCTCCCTCTGTGAAGCGACGGGCAGAAGGATGTTCTGACATGTCCTTTAAGGGCTCATGATTGTGTGTTCCATTTTTTATGGTGAGTACCCACAAACCATCATCCTTCTTGCCCACAGCTTCAAAAGGACAATTTGTTAGACGAGAACCAGTTTTTCTTTTACGACTATGTTCTGTTGAGGACTCTTCAGAAGGTTTTCGCCGGTTCCGATAGACACCTCCTCTGTCACAGCCTAGTATAACTACTTTATCCCTCTTGGATTGCTTGATAGTCACCACATACCCCTGGGACACAGCAAAGTCTCCAACATGTTGGATGAGTTCTTCCCGATCTACAAATGTGCCTGGGGGAGGTGGAAGCATTTGTGCAGTTTCATCCAATTCTGTGCTGCTTTGAGCATCCATCATACAGTATTAAACATAAGAAAATGGTAGCATTTTAACACTAGTCATTATTATATGTTCTCCACGTCACTGCTTGAATATGACCACATCAGTCTAGTTCAGTTATGATGACGCTGTTAAAAGAGAACAAAGTTAAAAAATTCTCAAGCAAAAGAGGCCTATTGTATTCTTAATTATTGAGTCCAACCATTCATATATCTCTTAGCCCATATGAACAGCACATCAACACATATCTGCAGCATTAACATTATCGATTCATGAAAGTGCCAAATTCATGTTGTACGCATAGCCAACAGGAGTTACATCATTTAACGCCAGTCCTGTAAAAGATTAAACTTGTTAAAAATGAAATACCTTATAATAAACTAAAACATATGAATAATATCAACTCCACCTGCTCCTCCCTTACTTCCTTCTTCCCCAATATAACTCACGTATCACAAATTACTACCCTTTCCCCAATCCCAAATTGCATGCAACACCCACACCTTATTCATTAGGATAAAATGATATGGAAAGGATGACCTCTCAAATGACTGATTGACCATTCTCATTAAAAGATATATCCCAATTATCTCACACATTTTACTTAATAATTTAATCGATAAGTTCAAATAAATAAAAATGAAAAAAAAAGTTCTACCTCTCCATAGAACCACGCACCAAACAAGTGTTCACACGGTTGCTTCCTCTATGTTATTCACTCCATTCATCAAACAGACACAGATAGAAACGAAAAAACATAACTCAGAAGAAAGACCATAAAATATGCCACCATTAGAAGTCTATATAAAGAAGCTAGTCATCGAATTATATATGGTAATAAATAAATGTACGCAGAGAAACGGCAATAGAAGCACATTAAAAAACGAATTAAATATAAATGATAAAAGCGATTTACAGTCATAAGCATGTCAACGAAGAGATATCCATTGTTTGACTGCTAAGGCATTGAAAATTCATGCACGAAAGAGTGGACAAAGCAAGATTTATCTTGGAAAAAAGTGATAGAAACAGTACTGATTTAAGTTGAAAGAAAACAGAAGTAGCATTGTACATTGAACTTGATTCCAATTTTGATCGAATCAATAAACTAGGGAAAATGGAAAAGAAGAATGGAACCTGGATTGTTGCTCTGTGCTACACTTATCGAACTGCAACTGCAATTGTTTGAGGTCGAATCGAAACTTGTAATAGAGGAGTTAAAGGTATTGCAAGTGTAGGTTGGAGAAGAAAACGTGTGCAAGTGCGTTGAAGCCTCGAGCTACTGCTAACTAAGCAGGGAGTAGTAGGAAAAAGAAATACTAAGCAAATAATATTTTACTGAAATAAACGAGTTTTAATTTTATTTATCGTAATAAAATTATTTTCCATTCTTTTACTATTATAAATAACCGGTTTTTTCTGGTCACAGAATACTAATTTTGATTTTTATAAAATTAAAATTTATTCATTTTATTTTTTTTTGTGAAACATTCATTTTATTTTATAACGATCGAAAATATAACTAAGACTATTATTTAATATATCTTAAAAAAATTAATGATAATTTTCGGTCCTCTGATTTTGTACTTGTGACAGTTATTCCATAAAAAAATGATAGATCCTCCGAAAATCTGTCCGAATATATAAAATAATAATTTAAATTATAAAATATTAAATTAAATAATTATTTTATAACAAATTTATTAAAAAAATATTAATATTTTAAATTTCGGAGGATGATTCGCACAATTTTTTCGGACTTTACACTATTCCATATGCTTTTATTCCCCGTAACTTAACTACCACTTGTTTTGAACCAAAATGAAATTGTTATCTTGATTATTAAAGTTATTGTTAATTAAATTTTGTGAAATTTTTTTTTATATAATTTTATAAAATTACTTCAAGTATTAAAAAAAACACTAAACCTTACATAATGAATAAACTCAACGTTTAAATATTTCAGACAATAATCACACGATTTTTTTTATAAAGTAATAAAAGTTTTCATTTAATTGACACCAACATTTAACGAAAATTTTAATAGTAACCCTTTAGTTTTAAAGTAGAGAAATGCTAAATGAGAACCCCCCTTCCAAAAAAAAAAAAAACTAGAGTTAATAGTAATTTTATATTTTTTTATTATAAGCAAAACCGTGAGAACTAAGGTCTAAAATGAACAATATCTCATCATTGTGGAGTATGTTTGTATAATAACCTTATAAAACAATCTTCATAAAATATCCCCTCAGACAAGTACCATAACATAATCTCAACAATATATATATATATATATATATATATATACACGTGTGTGAATAATAAGTGCACACTTTGTCCCCTTAATATGATAGTGTCGTTAGGTAGGTGATTATTGATTATTTAGCATTCAAGATGATCAAATAAATATCGATTCTTTATTATTTTTTTCTGCCCAACAACTTTTAAAAAAAAAAAAAAAGACAAGTAAAAGTTGATGTGATAAAATATAAGAATGTAGAGTTATTTGTGAGGCTTATTTAGTAAAAAATTTAAATTTGTTGAATTGGAAAGAAGAGTTGCTTATCTTTAAAAATGAGTTATGATTGTGTAATGACATACCTATTTAAAAAAGGTAAAAAGTAAATAAAGAAAATGTTGGGAGGGAGATGCTCTGAGTTAGACACCGTTGACATTCAAAATGTAACTAATTCAATGAGACTAAATACTTGAGTTATATTTCTCTAATGTGAGGTTTTTCTATTAAGAATAAAAATTACGTGCAATCCATGGGATTACCGTTACATTGTTACCTCAATCACAATATCTCTAATGTGACCGTTAACAATCCCCTAACTAATTTGGATCACAATATCTAGCTTTTTCGCAAACATTAGATAGTGCAGATTAAGAGATGCAGATATACAATGAGTTTTCTGGCAATGATGAAAAGGAACACTTTCTTATAACTGTTATAAAAGATATAGGAGATGCGGATACACACTTGACTTCACATAAACTGTTCGCAATTCACCCTCCATGATGTTTTCATGTTCATGTCACGGATGCCTCTGCCTTAATTGGATATAAGTATATAACAGCTATATTTTCTTAATTATTACCCAAACTTGTTCACATATCGATTCAAACATGTTACATTGTCTTGCTCTAAAAAAAGAAACAACTTTTCATTCCAAACTTTTGTTTAAAAAGAAAATAGGCAGCACTATAGTGATCACATCAATTATTTTAAGATCAACTAACATTGTGTCACAGACCAAGTACTTACTCAAGAGTCGCATACCTGAAGGTTGAAAGTTGAAACACCTACAAGATGGCAAGCTTACCAAGGAATAAGCATGTCCAAATGGTAACTTAATTTGAAACTGAAATGAACTTCCTTCATAGTTTATACATATTCCATGTGTCATCACTAAATTTCAGAATTCAGAAATGAACTTCTAAATTTCCTAGAGATGTAAGGTGTGACAAAGTGGGAGATTTAAGGCAAAGATTAGAATCAAGACCACCTAATGAAGAGAGACCACTCATTCCCGAATGAGTGCCTCTGAAAACACTAGCACTGTCCCATAGGATTCAACCTCCAGGTTCCCTACTTGCTCATTCATGAACCCAGACTCATTCAATGAAACTATCTACTTACTGCATTTTTTATCAAGTGAGTTTTTGACAAAATGTTTCAAACAAATCAGATAAGAAATCAACAATCAGATATGGATGAATTTAACCTGTGTTCAGAATAACTTAAAATAATCAACTTACAGTGTGTATTTAACCTGTGTTCAGAATAACTTAAAATAATCAACTTACAGTGTGTTTAGATAACTCAAGAATCAGTCCCACCGTCCAAAATCATGATGAAACCATAAAAAGTAGAAGCAACTATTTGTCGTTTTGCTATCACTGCCATGAACAAAATATTTAATTATATTTCATCATAAGACCAATTCAAACATACAAACTATATCTACCATGAACAAAATAATTAATTATATCTCATCATAAAACCAATTCACACATCCTCACTATCTAGTCGAAATTGGAATCATAAGTGTACATAAAATACGTGTTCTCCTCTCAACTCTTAAATAGTCATATTGATATTCAATGTCTTCATTCGAATCTTGGACAAGTTAATTAAAGTCACATGTCACAAGTCACATGTCACAACCACTTGTACTGATCAGTGTTGATTGTCCTTGCAATATTAAGTGAGGATCATGAAAAATATATATCACACCATGACAATATGCACACATATATATCCAATAGCTTCAAAACATGGGATAAAAGAAACAAAAAACAAATTTATATAGAACGGCAAAAAGTAATTTTCATTGAACAACCATGTCCATGTGCATCATCACGTGCATGTGGATGTGGATGAGCAAGAAAGTCACAAGTGATCCTGTTCTGTGTGAGTGTATGTTGGAGATTGGATTTGCGGAGAAACCTCTACATCTAATTCAACAGAGAAATTCAAGAAGCCGCTGCTATCATCGTCATAATCGCCAACGACACTGGCGGAACCAGTGGCCGTGCCGGTCGCCGTTCCTTCTTCTTCCTCATCTCGTACTTCTTCTTCTCTAAGGTGCTGGATCTCGTGCTCTTCACATTCTTCTTCTTCTTCCTCATCTCGTACTTCTTCTTCTCTAAGGTGCTGGATCTCGTGCTGTTCACCTTCTTCTTCTTCCTCATCTCGTACTTCATTTTCTCTAAGGTGCTGGATCTCTGGCTTTTCACCTTCTTCTTCTTCTTCTTTCTCATCTCGTACTTCTTCTTCTCTAAGGTGCTGGATCTCGTGCTTTTCACCTTCTTCTCCCTCATCTCGTACTTCTTCTCTAAGGTGCTGGATCTCGCGCTCTTCACCTTCTTCATCTTCTTCGTCTCGGAGGTGCTCAATCTCGTGCTCGTTGAGGAACTGCCCGAGCCTCTCCCTGAGAGCCTCCAACTGGCGTTCGAGGAGATTCTTCTGCGATTCCTCCTGCTCCGCCGTCCACCGGAGCGACTCCATGACCTCGTGGTCGTACTCCTGGCGCTGCTCCACCACGCGGCGGAACTGCTTAGCCTGAATCTCCACCGCGCTCTTCTCGCTCTGGAGGCGGAGGATCATCGCCATGGCCTCCTCCGCCGCGGACGCCGCCGCGCCGCGCTCCTGCTCGATCTCGGCGCAGGCGGCCTGGTAGCGCTGGCGCTCGGCCTTCACCATGCGGCGCAGCGACATTACGTCGAAGACATGGTCCTCGGAATTATAGGGTCTGGAATTGGAGTTATTATCATTATCGTTGTGTTTGGTGTTGGGAGAGAGGCGCAGGAGGCGGAGGCAGAAGAGAAAGATGAGGAGGAGGCCGAGGAAGTTGAAGAGGGGCGAGACATAGCCTAAGAGGAGAAGGCCGCAACCGAGTTCACTGAACTTTGCGATGAATCTGAATGTGGAAGGGAAATCCATGAATATGAGAATGAAGAAACGAAGGGAGAGACGGAAGAACCTGTGGTAGAAAGCGAGAACGGAAGTGACCAACAAACCACCCAGAGTCTGCATCTGCGTCTGGGTGAGGCCGAGGGCACCAGATTATGACAGACACTGCAACTGCAACCCAATCTTGGCGTCAAAGGCCCGAGAAATGAAAAACAAATAGAAATTGTTTTTGTTTTTGTTTTTGTTATTGGGAATGCGATTGAGAGGGATTGGGCATTGGTTGGAGTGATGGCGTTACAAGGGAAGAAATGTGATTTTCGTCACTCTTGCAAGCAAGTGCCAATAGATGGAGACTGTTCTAGTTATGAAGATTGAGATCTCATCGTGACGCAAAGAAATAGACACACGCACAGGATATGCTAGGACCATTTCAGAGCATACCGTTGCTAATCATTATTCTTTTTCGCACAATCATTTATATAAATCTAATTAATTAATTAATTAATTTCTTTTTTTACTCTACCAATGTTTTAATAAACTTACAAATAAATAAATAATAAGACTTTATTTGGATTTAAACTTAACTTAAAAACGTAAATTTAAAAAGTACAAAAATTAATCTTTTTTTTTACAAATTAATAGAAAGTTTTATTTTATTTTTTAAATTCATTGGAAATTATGTCAGTTTGAAAAAACATGTAAGAGAATATGTTGTTAACATTTTTTTTATAAAAAAAAGTGATAATAACATATTATTAATTTAAATTTATTAAAATCACAAAATTATATTCATTAAATAAATAAAAAAATGGAATCCAATGAAATTATGATTTTCTATAAATTTAAATTTATAGTAAAAAAATATTGCTAAAACGTTTTTTTTACAATATTTTTTTCATACTCACTTATGGTAATTAATGAAAACTTTAAATGCAAATAAAATAAAATAGTACGCATTCACATTTGGTCTTTTACTCTATCTTCATTCATCATATTTACAATATTTTTTTCATACTCACTTATGGTAATTAATGAAAACTTTAAGTGCAAATAAAATAAAATAGTACGCATTCACATTTGGTCTTTTACTCTCCATTCATCATATCATATACAAGCATTTGATAGAAGAAAAAGGAAATTCATATTCAAGAATCATAATTTTTTGAACCCTAATTTTTAGGGTGTGAAAAGAAATCGTAATTTTAAGGATGATTAAAAAATATTTAGTTGACCGTAAATATTTTTAAAGATATTTATATATATTAGTTGATAATCAATAATCTTTATTATATTTAATAAAAACATTAAAGTAACTTATATTTTTTATTGTAATAAAATATTTTATTTAATTCGAAAATGTCAGGTACGTGTGGTACAATAATTATTTTTACTTTTTATTAATATATTTTTCCATAAAATTGTTTCAAAAGTTTTATTTCGATGAAAATATTATATTAATTATATTTTTTATTTAATGTAATAAAATTATTGATTTTTAATTAATATTTATAAATATTTTTAAAAATATTTATGGTAAATCAAACACATTTTAATCATTTTTATGAATTATGATTTCTGAAATTTATAATTTCTAAAAAATTATGATTGTGGACATGAATTTTTTTTTCCTTCTAATGAACGCTCCCTAATGAATTGTTAAGGAAACATATGGGTAAAAAAAACATGTATAAAATACTAAGAAACATGTTTTTTTTTTCCTTATAAAATGTCATTTTTTAATGATAAATGAAATGTGAGAAATTAACGTTCAAATTCATATTCATAAAAAAGTAAAAACAACCTACACATTAAACACCCCCTGATAAATTGGATTCGAGACGCAAATAAATTATATAAATAAGTAAATATGTGTTAAGTATTGAGGTTCTTATTAAAAATGGACCAAATGAATTGGATTCCGCAAACAAATAAATTCCTATATATATTTTTCTTTTGGTACATCAATAGATTTATATCTTTACATTGCTTTGCTGGTTCACTCTTTTTTTTTTTAAGGTAAAATAAATGTAAGTTATCTATTCTATGAAATTGCTTGATTTTCCTATTTAGATCGGAGTATCACAACTTTATCTTAATTTTTTCTATTAAAAAATAATTATGTATTGATAATGATAATAAATTAATGAAATTGATACGTTAATAATTAATAATAATATTGCGATAAAGTATGCCTTCATTTTTTCTTTCTATATATTAAAATACAGTAAAAAAAATAGAAAGTCTTTTTATTATTCTATAAACTAATGAGTAAAAATGGAAGAAAAAAAAAAAAAAAAAAAAGAAGAAGAAACATAATAAATTATTTTTAATGTAATAAAATGTTTTTTTTTACAAAAGAAAACTATTTATGACATTTAAAATTAAAAGGAAATAAAAAAAAAAAACAAAGGAGGAGGATCGGTTTCAATCAAATAAGGAGACATTTTAATCGCATAAATAGTGAGGTTATTTACGTATTTTATTTGTAAATATAAACAAAATATGATGATAAAAATAAAATAGGTAAAGAAATTAATGTAACAGAAAAATTTAAAGAGGAAATATTCTTCATCAAGTAATTAGTGAGAAGAAAAAAAATTACTTCGTGTCTCTCTTTAAAAAATATGACAAATCTCTCCGTTTTTCATGTGTTGTTATTAAAGGTAAAATAAAAAAAAAATATATTCTTTATTGTGAGACCCCCTCCCTTATTTTTCTCTCCCCCACTCTCTTTCACTCACTTCTCTTACTCACTCCTCATTTTCACTCTCTTCTTCCCCATTTTCCTTTCTCTGATCATGAGTGGCTGTGGTGAATCTTAGGAGCTGAGTAGTGGTGCTGGGTTTCTTGCTGAGCCGTGCGGAGCTTCCTCAAGCTTCTCCTACTTCCCCTTTTCTTCTCCGTTCAAGCTCGTTTTCTTCCCGAAGCTCGGATTCTCGCGCCGAGGTAAGGGAAGCTAGTTATTTTACTGTGTTTTGCTGTGACTGAGTGCTTAAACTCATTTGTTGTTTGATGATTGCTGACTTTTGAGCTGAGGTTGCTGAAAAATGGGGGTTTTGGGGGTTTCGGAAGTTTGGAAGAAATTTCGGGATTTTGATGATTTGTGATTGCATGCATGAAAAGCTGGTATTTTTGGGCTCTTTGATGAAAATAGGAACGTTTGGCTGGATTGCATGTGTATTTTCTGTTAAGTTTCGCAGGTTTTGGTGAAATTTTTAGGTGAATCGCGCTGGGCGCGATGATGACAGCGCTGGGCGCAATAGAATTTGCAGGTCTCTGGTTGAGAATTGCGCCGGGCGAGCAATTAACTCGCCGAGCGCGCATTTGTGTTTCAGAATTTGACTTTATAGTCATCATAAAAGTTGTAGCCTTGGATGTTAGCTTTCCAATGGCACTAGAATCACTCAAAAAGGAGTTTTAGGACTCCAGATATGGCTGTTTTAGTGAAGAGGGGTCAGGCTGCCAACTTTACCTATAGCTGTTGCGGTTTTTAAAATATTTAACAAGGTAGATGAATGAATTAAGACTTGGTGTCTTCGTGAGAGTTGTAGGAAATTTGATTATCTTTCATATGAGATAAGGATGAGCATGGTAGGAGTAGTATAACTCCTAATGCGCTGTTTGTTGTGATGGTTGCCATTTCACATTTAGTGATTTGGTTAAGTTTAAAGTTGTTTTAGGTGCGTAGGTGTATTGGTGTTGTTTGGGTGAGTAAGTTGACAAGATAGATGAGTTGTGAACAAGATGGTTGGGTCGTATTATGTGTTGAACATGTTGTGCGTTGTGAAGTTGTTGATCATGTTGTTTTAAGCTGTTAATGATGAATGTAATTGAGCTGAATGATGATATTGATGTGCTGCGCTGAGCGCGACCCTTGTCGCGCTGGGCGTGAGACTCCTTGGGAGTCTCTGTCTCGAGGGCGCTGAGCGCAATTTGGTTTACGCTGGGCACGAAACCAAGGGAGGTCTCTTCCTTGCCTGCGCTGGGCGCGGGTTAGGGCACGCCGGGCGTGTGAGACTCCATGGAGTCTCTGCCTGGCCTGCGCTGGGCGCAATTGGGTATTGCGCCAGACGCAAGAGAGCTTTGGACTCTCTGGCTGAGTCTCGCTGGGCGCAGGCACGCTTGCGCCGGGCGCGCTGGTCCCTGGAGCCCTCTAGTTGTGCCACGCCAGGCGCGACCATGAGCGCGCCGGGCGCGTATAAGGATGTGAAGTTATATGCTGAATTTGTTGATAATATTGTTTCATGCTGAACTAAGCCGAAATTGATGAATATGATGGATGACTAGCTGAAATTGTTGTTTGATGATGTTGAGCTGTGTTAGGTGTATGTTGCTGTAAGATGCTTAGATGTGTGGGTTGGTGGTGCCATCGTAGCAGTCGATGTTAGGGGCTTCCATCCAAAAGGGAGAGGTGTCTCCATGATGCCGTCGACAAAGGGGTGACGGCGGATGCTCGCCCTGTGTCCTGGAGCCTGGATCGGTGCGTTGCTGACTACATGGTCTGATCGATACGTTGGTACGTTTGACCGAAGTAGACCTATGGGTCATCACCCTAGGCGCAGTCGGTGGCGGGGAAATCGAGTGCCCTTCTTCCTTGTTTTGATTGCTTGGTTGAGGGGGCTAATATGGGGGGCGCTGAGGAAGCTGGGCGCGGATGCGCTCGTTCTCAGCTTGTAGCACCGCTAGATTGGCCTCGTGCTGGGCGCGCATGCTCTCCAGGTCAGCGGTGTGTTGTTGTCGCATTTGATCGACTTGCTCGATCAGCCGTCTCAATGTTGCTTCTCCTTCCATTCTTGTTGCGTTATCTTGTTCGTCTGTTGCTCGTCTATTATGGCTTCAGGTAAAAATCATAAGCGTGGTCGATAAGAAACTTCTTGATCGGCCCCACGGTGGGCGCCAAATGTTCTTACCTGAGATCGATGAGTGAGATGATCTTTGGTAAGATCGGTGAGCCTCCTCTGCTTGGTATGTCTGCTACTCCGAGATGGGGTTGGTACCTGCAAAAGAGACTCCAATGCATAAGTTAGTTTATGATCGTATGAGTGTCTCTTATATATAATGCACATACCTTGATATGTGATTAGGGTTTCCTCTTGGGCGAGGGTAAGATAGATTTGGGCTTGAGATTGGTCGTGGCCCAATAGGCATTGGGCCCTTGTTTTGACCGATGTCATGTGGCGCCTATCCGAGATGGTGCAGCGCTAGGACACCGAGCTTGAGCTCGGTGTCCGACGTGGATAGTACAATATCGACTTTAATAATTCTGTTATCCTAAGCTTATAGAACATGCATATGTCTGCACATGAGCATGTCTCGTATTGGATATAAACATGAGTGTTAAATAAAAACAAAGCTAAAATGAAAAAAAAAAATTGGAATG